GTTTGTTTGTTTAGAGATTGGAAAGTATGGTTCTCTTAAGAAAAAATTTAGATTCGTGACTGCAGCAATTAGCCTTTTTTTCCTTTTTTTTTCTGTTTTGCTTCGTGCATGATCCGAATCTAACTATTCTTGATATTTATCAAGACGTCTTTGTATATTGATGAAACGGTTGGAGTGGAAAAGGACAACCGAAATTCGGGGACTTTTGTTAGTTTTTGAATGGTTAATGTGCTAATCCGGGTGTTTGAACTCTTAAAATATATATTCGACAACAGTTTGAAGTGGTTTTCGTTGCTTTTTTGTCAAAAAGTTTAGAAGCAGTTTACTCTGGCTCTTTTGTGGGTAAGAAAGAGGAGTTTGGCATGCTACTTATGATCTGTTTCTTTTATATTGTTGACCCAGCATTTTGTTAAATTGTTGGGCTTTTTTTTTTGCGAGTTTAGGTATATAAAGTTTTTGAGTGATCAAATTTGTGGATTCTATTTCTCTGCGTGATATGTTGGTTGGTGATGAAGATCGGGGGAATATTTATTTCTTAGATGGGGCTCACCATTGCTTGCTTATATATGTAACAAGGGTGGAATATGAACAATTTCTACTGTTAATTTGTTGTGGTCCTTCGTTTATTTTGTCTGTAACTGCTCCAAAAGATTTTCTTTAAGGGGCTATTGTTGAACGATGAATATGCATGTATTATTTTATTATGCCAAAGTTTTGATACTGATCATTGCACTGTTTTTTCTTTTCTTGTATCCGTGTTTTGCAGGTTTACTTGCTACTCATTTGCTCAAAAAAAGTTTGTGCTGTTGCTACAATTTCAATGGCTACGACTGTGGACATGTCTCTTGATGACATTATAAAGAAAAACAGAGAGAGAGGTAGAGGACGAGGTAGGGCCAGTCGTGGCCGTGATCGTGGACCTGGTAGGTTCTTTAATAATGGAAGGATGTCAGGGGCAGTTCGTAGAGGCCCTCTCTCAGTGAATGCTCGGCCACCAAAATACTCAATTGCCAAGGCAAGCTCAAAACTGTGGATGGTTTATGCATAAGATTCAGAACCTTCTAGGACTATGAATTCCAAATGCAAGGGATCTCCATTATGCTCTAGAAACTAGGAAGTCAAAATGCAGTGGATCTTAATATTTATTTGTTCATGGAGAAGCTCTTTTGGCCTCATCCACTAAAGCATTACAGCTCGTAGCATTTATAACATTATCTTGGGGATTTAGTTGTACTTGTGGGTTGTGGGGCTATATACTGGGGATTTTGCCACAGATCTGATGACATAAGTCTGTGCAGAAGTTATTCTGGTTCACATTCAGTTATTGTGCTACTTCCTAGCATTTTATTCTCGGCTTCATTAGGTGAATATTTTGGACCAGAGCTCACACCAGTAACATAATGTCAGTTAACAATTAGACATCTATATAATCCATATTATATAGTTATCACTTGTTTAGATGGAATGGATCCTCTTGCTATGTTTGGAATTTGTTCGGTGCGAGATCCCATCTCTCCTAGTTCATGGTGTTTTTGTAAAGGAGTTCCTTCGCTTAACTTCAGAACTGGAGCTCTCACCAATATCAAAGCACTGGTTTTTGCACGCAGTGGGTCGAATTCCTCACTCCCATCTCCATCTATTAATTCAACCTCCTGAAGTTTGGACACATGGTTGCTTGAGCTTTTTACTAAACTGCAGTTTCTTTTTATCTTTTGAAAATTTCATCAACTGAGATTGATATTGAAGATGGTGATCTTGTTATGGAAATAAGCTGATATGTTCTATTTGATGTCACCAGCCTTCCCGCCGAATTAGGAGTCTGCCTTGGCAGCATGATTTGCTTGAGGATAGCATTAGAGCTGCAGGGATAACAGGATTAGAAGTTGGAACCAAGTTATATGTATCAAACTTGGATTATGGTGTGACGAATGAAGACATAAGGGTACTAGTTAAGCTGTATGTTTTCATCATAGATGCTTTGTGTGCTGTAATGGATTTCTAAACTAAGTTTTCTGGGAACCGCAGGAGCTCTTCGCAGAGATTGGAGACTTGAAACGATTTGCTGTTCACTATGACAAAAATGGTCGCTCTACTGTAAGTTCTATTTCTTAATATCTAAACTTATTGATGTTAAATGCCGCTAGCATTTTGTAGGGGCAATTGTTAGGGTAATGATTGACATGCTTTATTCCTCACCAAATGCACTCTAGTGTTACTAAGATCAAGAAGTATTTCCATAGCTGTGTAATAAAAAATGTTCATCAATGCAAATGCTTAGATTGTTTAATCATTGGATATGGTGCCTCAAGACATTGATGCCTGGATCATGTGTGTGCCTTGAAATCATTTTCCGCCTCTCAAATTCATAACCATGATTGTTTAGTGGGTTTTAATGTCGTTGGTAGTTCTGTTAGTTTGACTTGCTGTCGGATTCATAACCATGATTCTTAATCTTGTCATTGTCTGTTGCAGTTTTGGTTTCTATGTGATCTCTCTGGATAGGAATTTCTAACGTTGATCGCTTGGTGACAGGGCTCGGCTGAAGTTATGTATACCAGAAGAAGTGATGCGTTTTCTGCTCTTAAGAAGTATAACAATGTACTTTTAGATGGAAGGCCTATGAAGATTGAGATTGTGGGTGCCAATCCAGAGGTGCCTATTTCAGCTCGAGTGAATGTTACTGGCGCAAATGGAAAGAAGAAGAGGACTGTTGTTATGATGTATGTGGTTTTGTTCTTGTCTTTCTTTTCATGATTGGATTCCTGAGGTCGATGGAAATTTGTTGCATGCTCTATCTGAATCTGCCATTCCATGGGAAGTTAGGGCTTTTTCCGGTCACCTGTTGAATGTTTTTGCAAGATGCCAGTTCCAGAATTTCGATGTAGAGCATTTCAACATTTTAATGTGTAGCGAGCTTCTGTTTTCTTAAACAAATTAATTGTTGCTGATTTTGCTGTTGAATGAGGAGGGAATGGTAGCTTCAGCTTATCAATGAAAAATTAGCTTTTTATGTATACATCTACCAGTTGTTTGGCTGGAATCCTGGAAAACATGATGAGCATCTTTCATGTATTGGCACTTTTCATGTTTGAAGGGGTGATGGAAAGCATTAATTTGAAGCTTTTGCCTGAAGGTTAATTATATTTTCAGCAGACTTCCATTTATAGTTTGAAAATTATGCAGGCCTGGACCAGGTCGTGGAAGAGGTGATGCTGTGAATAATCATGGCTCTGGGTAAGCTTTTCTGACTATAGAGGTGGTTGCTTTTCATGTTGATTCAATTCCATAGTCTCATTTGACAATTATAGTAGGAGTATCAGTTTTAGGTTGCTTGAAAACTGTTTTGTTTCATGTTACCTGCCATGGCTAACATTTTTTTTAACATCAGCATATTCTATGACCTGTTGGTGTGGATTTTTGTTTGTGATAATATTGTTATGAACAATAATGTGATATATGTGTTGCTGGCTCTGTGCAGTCAGAGCCGTCGTGGGGGTGGGGGTCCAAGGAATGGTATGAGAAATGGCCGTGGCCGTGGTCAGGGTCAGGGTCGAGGCCGTGGCCGTGGGAACGTGCTCAAGGTCAGGGTCGAGGCCGTGGCCGTGGGAAGAAGCAACCTGCTGAGAAGTCAGTAGATGACCTGGATAAGGAATTGGAAAGTTATCATGCTGAAGCCATGCAAACTTAAATTTGAAAGCTGATCACAACTAGACATCATAGTATCAGCTGGTGTTTATGTTTCTTAGATCCACAAACTTATGGTAATTGCAGTGATGGTAGCTATTCCCCTTTCTGCTTCGTGACTTTTAACACTATCTGGAAGCGTTATTGTAAGTGAGAATGTTGGTTTTCTTTTTCATCTCGTAATCATCCTCATTTTTCCGCCGTTGTTTATATTTTTCTGTATACACTGTTAACATGGTATTTGAGCATTCAAGCTTTCATATATTAAGATTGAGAGTCGAAGCAAGGAATTAAATTTTTATTTTCTAGTCTGATCTCTTTGATGGAGGTGGTGTGCCACACTGGTTCGTTTTAGATACCAAATTAAGTGAAGAATCCTCATTAGCCTGGCGCACCAATACCTGCTTATGTTTAAAAATGAGAGTGATGCTTCTTTTGTTTTGTTTATTTTGATGAACCTTGAACAAGCTAGTCACACAAAAGGAGGGACATCCATGCCGTGCCATGCCATGCCATGCCATGGTTAATCTAGATTGATAAAGATCTGTGCCATGGTTAATCTAGATTGATAAAGATTAATTTTTAAAGAACACTAAACCTGGCTCAGTGAAAAACAATATCTTTTTTTAAAATAAAAAGGTTTATTCAAGTTTATTCAGTTGTAATAATTGCGATCCAAGCTCCAAAATCCGCTAGCTTGTTCTGTTGGACGAGAAACGTGTGCTTACACGAAGACAAGCTTGCCCGAATAATCAAAGAAAGTATATAATCATTCATGACTTATCATGGATGAGAAACTTTTATGAACACGACTGTCTCACTCTCCTCGGAGCTATATGGCATAATAACGTGGTAGGATGGGTAAACATTCATGGCCAGGTAGTGCAGTTTATTTAACAATTGTCCCTCATTCCAGTTGACTAGTCTTATTCCGAGAAATTGAGGGATGTTGATGAAAAACTCGAATTCCATAACGCTTTTGCTTCCCATCAAGGGAGGATTATGTTATTAACAAGTCACCTATTGCTTGCTTGCTCGTGTAATGCCTTCAAGCTAGATGCATGAAACATTCGACTGATTGATAACGACAAGTTTATCGCGTACAAATTCGTTATGGAGGACGAGTCAACGAGCTGAGGTGATCCTTGAACAATTTTAAAGCAGCAGGTTGATCTACTATTTGCAAGGGTTTTTCTGTTCTTTATCTTTAAACTCAATGCAAGATCTTGCATACTGTGAATGACAAATAGCATGAACCAAATCAGAACTTAGCTGCCGGATCTAATGAGAAGCCCCTTCCGGGCAAGACAAACACATGAACAATCAGAAGATAATGTATCAACAAAGGATCGGTGCAATTCTGCATCTGTTCCTCATTTTCTCGCACAGGTGCAACAATCCAGGGGTTGAATGGCATTATGGCAACAAGATACAGAAACTCTCAGTTCTTACTAAAAGGTTGAAAGAAAGATTTAAGTGTATTCACGAAGGCTGAACAGCAGAAATGTTATTTAGAGCAGTTACATCTTTGTTTAAGACAAGGTGTCCTGACTCGCCCTTCTTGAAAAGTTTTTTAACCACTTCATCCCAGTTAGTCTTTCCACTGGAGGTAGATTTAGTTTTCGAGGCTTGTTCACCCTCGGACTGGGAAGGCACTGTTCCACTATCCATGAAGGGTTCAGCATCAGGGGTGGCCACAGCATGAGGAATATTTAAACTGACAGCTCTTTCCAATGCATCCCTGTGTTCTTGTTCAATTGTCTGCATCCTTTCAAATTTTTGTACATCCGGAGGAGTTGTGATGGTTTCAGAACTGATTTCCTTCATTTTCTGTGGAAAATTAATATTGTTAACAGCCAGTAAACTATTCAACAGAAAAAGAAGTAAAGCCCTGGAGATTTAAGGGCGAAACAAAAATTTATCCCCTCTCATGCTACTTGTAGACACAATCACGGTTTTCAATAACATGGGAGCCAATTTTATGCAATCTTGGATACGCTCCTTTCAGACTGTGGCTTCAGGCAGTTGATAGTAAGAACTACTACAAAATCTCAGTATTTAAATTAAAGACTGAGGAAACAGGGAGATTAGAAATGCCAATGCCCTGTGGTGCAAGATGCATATCCCTCACTTGAATTAATGGGGAGGACTGTCTTCATGGAGAAAAAGGTATAAGAAATCATAGTCGCAGAAAAGCATTAGAGTTGCAGTTAAAATAGGATGATATAGTTGCAGTTAAAATCGGATGATGTCTGTATAAGCCGTGGGCAGGGATGTATGTATCTGTGATGGAGAAAGATGGAGAGACAAGATACTTCACCACATGGTTGAAATGTTTTATCCAAATAACCTTCTTTGGATCGGAAAAAAGTGAGCATGCACTCTAACTAAATGGCTAAATAGCAGGTAGAAATCCTTTTGCAGTATGATACTAAAAAGTAAAACTATTTATTTCTATTTACTGCTCCAAATTATTGTAAATGAAATGGAACATAAACAATTTATCAAAAGCAAGAGCTTACCTCCAAGGCTTTCTGTGATTCCCTTTCTATCCAAATAATTCCATGATCAGATGTGGCATTACATGATAAGACAATGTGTTCAAATCTTCCATCTACAGGAATGGCAGTTCTAACCTCTGGTGGAAACCTCCCACATCTGTGACAACATGAACGAGGACATAGTTGTAAGGACATGCACAATAGTTTTCAGTAAGCATCTACCACCAAATTAGGGAAAAATAACTTTATGATGATCAAACACCAAATTACACCAAATTAGGGAGATTATAGTTAGTTCAAAGTCAACTTTAACCCAAGGATGATAAGCACACTATATAAACAAAAGGAGGCTCACAAAAATGGATAGCTGAATGATTAAACTGCATTTGTATCAAGTTATAATCAATTGACTGGGCAACCTGAACGAGTGGATTATAAGTTGATGGAAGAATATCCAGAAGCAGACCATCTAATGGGCAGTTTGTGTGTGACCGTGTTATAGAGAGACAGAATAAGGGCTGAGCAACAATAGAAGATTATAGAAGATTTTTATAATTTCTAAAGGTAAGGACTATATTAGCAATAACAGGATGTTAGAAGCTAACTATGGCCCACACATTATATCAAAATTGCAAGTTATGCATGTGATTATTTGCAATCACAGATTTGCAAGTTTTGTCTAATGGTTAGGGCAATGGTAGGCTAATGCATTTGGTCAACAAAACTGATAAATTGAACGTGTTACCTGCAAAATTTTCTCTCTACAATATGATACATTCGTCCAGGAGCATAAAGTCTTCTTGGATCTCTAAGCTTTCTACCTTCTGGAATGAAGGTATCTCTCAAGCAAACCAAAAACAACAAGCAGGGCAAGCTGTCCAAAGGATCAACACCTGGTTTAAGAGATGATAATAGCAACTCACTGCACTAAGTAAATAGGTTGGGGATTTGTATGACAAAATGAAGGGCACCATAGACTCTATGATGATATAAAATTAAGAAATACCAACCAGAAGATTGACTTAAAGATATCTTCCAATGGAGTAGCTGTTCTTGGTAAGAAATCATCCTGGATAAAAACAGTAAGTTTATATCAAGTCCGTGCCTTCAACACTAAAATAGAATGATCTACGCCAATTAATACACTATTATATCACAGATTCAATAAATAACAGCAAACATCAAGTGCTGGCATCTAAACTACTTTCATACAAATATGATTTGATTAAGACATGCACATGCTCGGAGAATGATGATTTGTTCATTTTATTTGCCTGGGAGACAAAGTAGTACCTGCACCAATCATCAGTTATTATGCCCCAAAGTCGCCCATCATACAACATGAAACACAGATCAATAACTTCTGGCATTTAAACTACGAAAGCACCATAGTTAAAATGAAATATCCATCACCTCTTAAAACGATATTAACTGCAGAAGTCCCTACACGCACTCAGCCTCAAAACATCTTATCAGCAAAAACTCAACATAAATCAAACTTTTGACAAATCAGCACCAGGAAAAAAAAAATGAAAACACACAAAACTGTCAAAAAATAGTAGCTTTCATTGGCATCACAGATCAAATGAAATTACAAAACTAATTAATTCAATAAACACAAACATCCAACAAACACAACTCATCAAACAAAACACACCTGCAAAATTATAGAGTGAATAACATCAGCATACTTAACAGCCAAATTTAGTGACATACACCTCGCTGGAGCCATAACATAACACCTAATCTTCTCCCTAGGAATCCCTCCTAACTTATCTCTATGATTAACCACAATAACAGTTGACAAAGCCGCTACGCCAGACCCTAAAGAATGTCCAGCAAAAACCATATCATACACTTTCCCATTCTCCTCCCACAACCTCTTCAATGTCTCGCCTTCTTCATTCAATAACCAAACAGCAGACTTCAACAACCCATGATGCACAAAGCCTCCATCAAACATCTGCATTCCTAACCTATTATCTAACAACGTTTTATAATCACTCTCTTTGTATAAATTCAATCCCCGAATCGCCAAAACAATCTCTTTATGATCATGATCTATGTAAATTATATAAGGAGGGGCACGCCCTTGTGTTTGTTCATAAGTTACACGCTTAATAACCCCATCTGGGTTTAACCGGTAACCATGTTGAGGAATGAATTGAGGGTTGAGAAGATCTGATTCGTAGACAGCAAGAACTAAACGACACATACGAGGGATTGGTTCAAACTCTTCTGGGGTTGCCAAGGTCCAGTTTGCACTGTCATCAGCACCAATGTATGTGCAACGCTTCCAAGCCCAGCGACCGAAGCCTAGTATAAATACACATTCTACTCCACAACAGAATAACATCTTTTTGGGTTGATCTTGGATTTGGAGAGGGATTTGTGAAGGGGTTTTTTTGTAGATTTGGAAAAGAGTGGAGCTTTCAAGAGAAAAGCGTGAGCTTGGAAGCGTAAATTAGAGAGAGAGAGAGCTTTTTGAGAGGCAAATAGCTGGAATTAAGAGAGAGAGGTTTTGATGAGAAAGGAGAGAGCTTTTTGAGAGGCAAATAGCTGGAATTAAGAGAAAGGGATTTTGAGGAGAAAGAAGAAGGCTAGAGAAAGGGAGTGTGTGTGTGTGTCTATATATATAGAGAGAGAGAGGGAGGGAGGGAGGGAGGAGGGAGAAGTGTAATTAATATCTTGGATTTTATGAGAAGATTCTGGAGAGAGAGGAAGCAAAAGAGAGGACTGGAGAGGAAAGATTGTGTTTGAGAAGGGAAAGTTTTCAAGAAGAAGAGATAGCGAGAAGGTGAGGGTGATTAAAGCTTGGAATCATTGGAAGGAAGGTTATATAAGAAGTTCACATGAAAAGCAAGTTTAGTGTTAGCTCTAAGCTCTACACCGATTTAGAGAGAGAGAGAGAGAGAGGCATGCTGAAAGGAAGAGGGTGGTGGGACGTTCATGCGGGGGCCGGAGGACGTAAAGAGGAAAGTGACGGTAGAGAAGCAGAAATAAATGCAGAGGACATACAAAAGGCAAATGGACACATGCCAGATGCCACCCCTTGCCATTGTCCAGCTGTGACTCTCTCATCGTTTACCGAATGTTTTTTAACTTGCTTTATATATATATACAGAATCAATATGATATTTATCAATAGTTTATTGGACATTAAGCAAATAAAAACAATAAATGGACACGTAAATTTATTTCCGCACAAAAGTTGTATTTTAAGAGTCTCATCTATCATGAATAAATTATGACTTCTTTTTATATTAGTATGGTAGCTTGTGGTAATAACATATCCTCGGAGTACTTCAAGTATATTAAATTTGGGTTCAACCCCTCCATTATGATAAAAACAAAAATATAATTAACAATTTCCCACAAATTATCCTCACTAAATCATGCTAGTGCCTTGACTTGTGCATCCCTATTCATTTGATTTTCAAAACTTCTTCTTTTATCTTTTTATTTACAAAAAAAATATACACATTAAATGATTAGTTATTAATGCTACCTGCAATTTTTTTATAATTTTAGATTATTTTAATACGCTGAAAACAAAAATATATTTTAATATTTAAAAATAATTACTATCATTATTAATATAATTACTTAATAAATTCAAGTTGCTAACTTTTAGCACTTCTTATTTAAAACATAAACATAATAGAAATTAATTAAATGTGTCATCGGCCTCTAGCTAAAAGTATATTGATTGATTTGAAAACTTTAATTTCAATTAATGTGTGCTTATTTTAATTAATAAGAGATTAGTTTAAGATTGGGTGGTACGATAAGTAAAGTTACAACTCCTCACTTAATTAAGTGAAAACAGTTTTATTTCAAACATTCTTGTTCATATGATTTACTAGCCAGATATTTTCAACGAATTGTCAAGGGGTTTTTTTATATTTAAATCTTGAGATCAGATTTTTATTAAATTCCTTTAAATATACTAGGTCAAATTTCAAGAGTGTAGCCTTAAAAATCATTAAAATAGAAATTTAATTTAAGTCATGTATAAAATATCTTTATCGTTAAATAAAAAAAATGATAGCAAAATATTTATAGGATTTTCATTGATTTTGAATTTATTCATGGAATTTCTAATATTAAAAAAAAAGAGTAGAAATGCCAACAAAAATCGGACACAAAACAGGGAGTGAGATACTGCGGACAAGATTCCCTGTTCCAACGAGTCAATTTCTTGTGCGTGTTCTTGTGAGGTGGATTTTGTCGAGGCGCGTCAACGACGTGTCTTTGGCGAGTAGGAACTCTTCATACGCGTCGTGAAGGAAAGATTCTACAGCATTTCCGGGTTAAAACATTATCTCACTTCTCTAACCGCCCATTGTGTCAGATCTAGTTTTCTTAATATTAAAAAAATTGATGGGATGACGCTGTTTTTTTTAAGAAATTAAAAAAAAATGCATGTGAGTTTTGATTGAACGACAAGTTTGTATGTCAAGTCACCGATTCAATTAGATTTGGCTGGTAAAATATCCTTTTCAATTCAAACTAAAACCTACAAATACCTGAAATAGACTCCAAATCATATATTTCTTTAATTAACAGGCAAGTTGCTTACAATAATTAAATTATTTTTAAAAATTTTATATTTTTTTTTATTAATAAGTAAGTTGATAAAAATAATTAGATCATTGTAATAAACTGCAAGTCATATATTTCTTTAATTAACTGGAAAGTTGCTTAGAATAATTAAATTATTTTTAAAAATCTTTATATTTTTTCTATTAATGAGTAAGTTGATAAAAATAATTAGATCATTTTTTTTAAAAAAAATTATTTTTTATTAACAAAGAATTCATTTAAAACAATTAGATCATTTTAAAAAAAATAATTAGATCATTTCTAAAAAATCTTTTTATTTTTTATTAATGAACAATTTGTTTAAAACAATTAGATCATTTTAAAAAAAAGAAACTAAAATTATAGAAAGAGAAGCATCCTGCCCCACACAATGTTACTTGGATCATTGACAAACATCCTATTATGGTCCAACATTGATGTTTGATATAATTTTATCTAGGTAACCATTTTGAAGATGATGACTAGTGTAATGTACTCCCCATGACAGTATGTCATTTACTTTTAGGCCATCCATGGCTATTTGACATTAAGGTGAATTATAATGGGTATGAAAATACTTATTTCTTGATTTGAAAGAAGAAGAAGTTGATTCTAGAGCCTCTTTCTATTATCAAAATCTAATTTTTGAATTTTTTTAAATAAATAAAAAAATAAAAAATGAATGAATGAAAAATAAATTGAAATTATAAATTAGAAGTTTGAAGACTAATATGGATGAAATTATAAATTTGGAAGTCAATTTTGGTAAAACTTAAAAGAATTGATAAGTTTAGGGACTTAATTAAACTTTAAATTAATTTAATAAATAAAATTAGAGGTTTAATTAAATAAATATCAAAGTTCATAAATAAAATTAAAGGTTTAATTAAATAAATATCAAAGTTCAAGGTTAATTCAAGTCAAATTGAAGGTTAGGGATTAATAAGAAGGAAATTATAAACTTGAAAGTTAATTTGACCAAAAATTAGAAGAATTGATAAGTTTAGGGACTTAATTAAACTTTAAATTAGTTTAATAAATAAAATTAAAGGTTTAATTAAATAAATATCAAAGTTCAAGGTTAATTCAAGTCAAATTGAAGGTTAGGGATTAATAAGAAGGAAATTATAAACTTGAAAGTTAATTTGACCAAAAATTAGAAGAATTGATAAGTTTAGAGACTTAATAAAACTTTGAATTAGTTCAATTAATGAAATCAGAAGTTTAATTGAAGAAATATCAAAGTTTAAGGTCAATCTGGGTCAAAGTTGAAAGAAATTAAATTCCAGGGACCGAAGTGAATAGGTGCTAATATTACAAGGGGTTAATTGATTTTTTTTAGAGGTAATTTTCAAAGAATTAAAAGTTGACGAATCAATTCTGACTTGATTAAATTTAAAATTGAGGACTATTTTATAAGTGACGCTACTGATTTGATTAAAGTTGAAAGCAAGGACTATTTTGTAAGTGATGCCAGAATCTAGGGGTCTAATTGCATTGATCTAGGGGTATGATGCCAGAATTTAGGGGTCTAATTGCATTGATCTAGGGGTGAAATTAAAAAGAAAAAAAGATTTCCATGAATAAGGGCTTAATTGCTAGATGTCAGAAAGTCAAGGGGCAAATTGAAGATACCCATTTTAGAGGAGAAAATTGCGCCATTTTAAACCCGCTATCCATCCCCTTCCTCTTCTAAACCAAGGAACCCACCTGCAAAAGAAGGAATAACAATGTCGGCTTGCCATGCCTCATCGTCTAAAACCAGACCAGAACGTAGACCAAATTGTCTACCATCTATCTCCATTCATTTTGTTCCAGTCTTCCTTCGTCGCCACAATGTGCCATTAATGTTAAGGAAACCATCACCATCAATCCAGCAATGGCAGGACTATTGGTGTCCCAATCCCAAAAAAGTAAACTATAAAAGCAAAGGCAGAGGGCAGGCAATGGGGAGGGATGAAAAAGACGGAGGAAAAACCATACAGAGAGAGAGCCAATAACAAAAAAATAAAATAATAATAATAATAGAGAAGCCAAAGAGACTTTTGGCCTTCATTCAGAACTCCAGCAAAGGAATTTCGACCTTTCCCTCACAGCAGATTGCTGGCCCAACCAACCAAACAAAAAGAACAAAACAGAGACAGAGACAGAGACAGAGAGAGGGAGAGAGAGAGAGAGAGAGAGAGAGGAGGGAGAGAGAGAAGAGAGACCATACAGAAAAAAGAAACACAGAAGAATGAAATAAAAAACAGAGCGGTCATCCAGCCCATAAAAAGAAACTGTAGAGCTGGGCTGAGTCTAGGCTTCAGGCCTAACCGGCCTAATTTTCTTGAGGCTAGGAGAGTGTTCGACAAAACACAAATTTGTGCCCTTTCTTTTTAATTTCTCTCTCTCTCTCTTTTATTTATGTTGATATCTAGCTAAACAGGTTTTTTTAAAATATTAAAAAATTTCAAAAAAATTTGAGGACACGTTTTGATTTATTTATGGTTCATCGTACCTTTTTTTTTATGACCTTACCCAGTATTTGAATTGTGAATTTATAGTATAAAATATGAATATAGACATATATTATATAATACATATCTATTTTTAAAAAAAAACTAATAAAAACTAATTAAATGTTATTAGTGGCACTAGAGTCAAGAAAAGCATACTTGTTTTTTATTATATAATATTATTAATATTAAAGTTGAAAATAGTAAAAATTAAATATTCTCTGACATCAAAATAAAAAGTATTAACACGCATTTAATTTTTTTTTATTATATGTTTAGTACATCTACAAAGATTATTAGTTGGCCGTTAAGGTTTGATGACACATAAGCATCCAAGAATTACAGCAAAGAGAGAGATAAAACAATTGGAAGTTTCTAAAGGAAACCAATGTTAACCCCGAGCTGCCTTCTCTATAAAGTGATCAAAGTCAAAAGAGAACTACTGTCTAAGTTATGCGCCAATCAAATAGAATTTTTCAATTATTGATTCATTATTTATACTAGTTGTAATTTTTTTTTCTATATAAATAATTATACAATCAGCAAGAAACTCATTCTTTATGTTGTTTCAAAATCAATTTTTAATAAACTTAATAGATTAAATAACTCATTTCGTCGTTAATATAGAAATTAACAAGAAGATTTCTACCAATCAAATTAATCTACTAATCAAGTTGAAATTAATTTTTACGCTTGTGTCTACTAATCGATGATACAATACAGAAAAAAAATAAATATTCTAGAAATTCGGATGATTCATTGACAATTTATAAGTTTACACATGCATTATTAAACTATGTAAATCCATGGAAATGAAGCCTTTAAGATAGACTTTCTCAACAAACTTATATATATCATCAACTTTAAATGTTGTCAAGGCATGCAAAGGATCAAATATTTAGCTAAGATATAGCAACTCTACTATACTTTTTGGAAATCTATGATTTAACTTCATCAATTGAAAATCTATTACAATATTAAATATATCATACGATAATGATACTTAACCTTGACAACAACAACTTGTACCAATCTTGTAAGGAGCACTCATATTAGGAATCTCAACATCATATTGTTCATAAAAAGATACCAAATTTTCAAATAGATCATCTCAATCACTATCCC